CGCATTGCTCACCTACAAGAGCAACTGGAGCTGGTCAACCAGTATTGTGCTGCGTCTGGAGCCAAACTAAACATCGACAAGACGGAAATCCTAGTGCTGAACTCCAACCAGCCCATACCGATTGCGCGGGGCCTGTCGTTTGCAGCGTCGGTTCGTCCGATACGCTACCTTCGAATCTTGCTGGGTCACAAGCTACCAGCATCGTTCCAGGTCAGCCGACAGACGGATAAACTCTACGAGACCTTCCGTACCTGGGGTTGTCGAGCACGCACCATACAAGGACGGCGACTGCTGGTGCATACAGTGATCCTGTCTACCTTGTGGCACTTTACAGCAGTCATCCCTGTGCCGCCCCACCAAATTGCAGCATGGCAATCGCTGGTGAACAAGTTTGTCCAGTCGAGGATGACTGATCCTACACAAAGGACGGTCTCCCTGATGCAAGCGGCGCATCAGTACAACTGATCAGTAGGGTGGAGAGTACCTCATCTCGCCTCGATCATTGCATCGCAACGGCTCTCCCGCTTGTGCCTCCTTCTGCGGGCACCTGCGGAATCCGACAACATGTGGGCCTGACTCGCCCACGAGATGGTCGATGTTGCACTCACCCCTTGTAATCGGCCGGACCGGTTCGACTTCCTACATTTTCGGCCAAACTCACGCAGTGCCGCCGAACGCCTCGCGAAGGTGTCGCCACTGTGGAATGACGTGTGGAAAACTTGGCATCGTCTACCTACGGAAAAACGTTGCCACGCCAAGCCAGCACTGGAGCAGCTGTGCGAGATGCCAGTGTGGCGTTAAGCCAACGCACTCTTTCGCATCTCGCTGCACGAGAATGGCCCATCCACCACCCTATTCACGTCCTTCCGTCACAAAGGCAAGGTGTGGTTTGAACACATGATGAGGTAGGCTTTCATTGCCTGAAGGATTTCATTACCCCAGCACGCACCTGGCCCACTGCGGATGAGTTCGACGACATTGTCGTGCCGGCAATCCAGCGGTTGGAGTATCATGGTCCTGTACCCTACTCACTGGCACCGATATACGCTCGACTTACCGCAATAGCACACCGAGTGTTCAAGTTCACGGGACACGCTCGGCATGACCCTGTCCAATTCAAGGTCCCTTGGCACCTGCCGTTCAGCGCAACCTACAAAAAGACCCTCTCCGAGATACGGGATTTGACACCACACCACATCAAGCGGGTATGCCTAAACCTACCCGAGCCCACACGTGACCACCTCATGCTACGAACACACGGAACCATGGAGGCCTTGCAAACGTACCTTAAGCAGTTCCGTCGCACCACTGCCGTCGCAACACCGTTACAAGCTGACGTGTGGACTCGACTGCAATTCCGGGTGCTGCCTGTTGAATACTGCTTCTACCATATGCACTTAGTCCACCCCGATTGAATGCAATGTCCCTACGGCAGCTGTCACGCCGTCGAAACTATTCACCATGCTCTGATGGCCTGCCCCTGCGTCCACCCGGTTTGGGATATGATGGCGGCACCATGGCTACAATTTGGATTACGATTCGATTGGGACCTGCATTTTGGACGTCACTAAAGTCCTACCTCTTCCAGCATGGTCCCTCGCAAATATGAAAGTTGTTCGCAACTTCACGTACCGTCTACAGTGGAGCGCAGTCTCCTCGAATGGTCCACGCAAATTCGACGGCATCTTCAACTCCCAACGACTCTCGAAGACGAACGCGCTCGCATCCAGGCGATCCTGCGTCAGCTCGGCCAGCATCCCAACTTCCGAGGATTCTGGTCAAAATATCCTCTGCACTTTTCCACCAATCCCTTGACCGAGCAGCTACCATTCCGGTAATTTCACCTATTTATGTCCTTCTTCGTAGGACAATACTGTACAACAGTTTGACCGGTCGGTCGATAGAACTGTAGGGTTAAAAGCCAAATACACCCCGATGTACAGGGAGCTAATTGACCTCGGTTTGTGGAAATGGTAATAGTATTACTAAGCCCCCCCCCGTTCCTCCAAGGTTCTATTCCTGTACCAAAATGATAAACCTCTATGAGATGGTAAATTTGACGGTTTTACCCTTCATTTTCCCATAGTTTAATCCAGTATAAATTCGGTTGATCACTGGCCTGTTTGAGTGGGCATTTTCAACAATTTTTGGCTCATTCTGGAAGTGTTAAAATTGATAGGTGACCAACTAACTACCCAGGTGACCAACTAACTACCCAAGACTCCGAGGAAAATTGACGAAAAAATTCAATCAAAATGTCTGAGAATTCAATCTTCTAAATGATTCACCCAATGTCACGGGCCAAATCGATAGTCTCAACATAGAGCAGCTTGCTTCAAGGGCATAGTTCTCTTCATCGACCGAGTCATCTTCGTCGACAGAGTGATCTATCACCGCGCATTGCTCCCCGTCCACATTCACGTCCTTTCGGACCATCTCCTGGCCCGACCCAATCACGTGGTGGGCGAATGCGCATCAAGCGCTGGTCTCATCCCAATGCGGTCCACGCATCCGATGACTGCTACGTATCAAAGGTCTGCGAGGTGATCACAAATAATTTGTGTTGGACCTATCAAGTTACAAGTATTACTTTCTAGAGGTGTCCGAATTGAGTTATCTGTCTAAACTGATATAGATTTGACGGTTCGCTGGGTGGACAATGATTGGTCTGCTTCCTTTGGACATCTCCATTTCTATCCGCGCAACCGACATGAACGCGGCGGCAAGTCCAATTGCTGCGACGCCAGCATCAACGGAGATGGACCTCGCCGAGCCTGAACATTCTCCTATTCACACGCCCACCACTGAATACAGCTCTAGCAAGCGGAAGCGAGACGGCGAGCCTTCTCCCGTGAAGTGTACGCAGTGTTCAAGCTTTGACATCAAGTACCGATGTCCCAGGTGCGAACGCATCACATGCTCGCTGGCATGCTGCTTGGCACACAAAAAGCAGGTACATTCCGCGATCCGCAGCACTGGACACACAGCAGGTGTCTCACGATGACGTTGTAGTTTGATTGCGACGGCAAGCGGGATCGCACCAAGTTCATTGCCTTAGCGGACTTTCAAGACGCCGACATGTCCAGCGGTATGTGACGACTATCATACACATCTTCTGCATCCAGTTGATTAAACGTTGTAATGCCCTTTGTTTAGACTTCTTCTTCCTCCAAGAGATTTCGCGGTCGACGAGTGCCGTTCATCTCGATGTAGCGGTGAAGCCACCGCCGCCATCAAAGAGATCGAAGGGGCACAATCACAAGAGTCCACATAATACAGGCAATCTCACCACGCTATCGGTGAACCCTGAGCTTCCCGCTGACTACTTGAAACGATTCCCGCCCTCCGTCCAGTCGTTTGTCCAGCAAGCGAAGAAGCGAGGGGTGTTTGTGCATTTGCACGCGCCCGGCATGTCACGCCACAAGGCCAACACGTCCACGTACAACTCCAAGGAGAATTGTGTGCTGTGGCGTTTGGAAATGCACTTTACCGACGTGGCTGAGATCGTCACGATTGTCGAGCCCAGGTGGTCCGAGCGCTTGTCCCTGTGTGACGTAATCACCAAGCATTTGTCCGTGACTTTGGTACGACCTGATAGCGCCACCGTCTTGGTCACGACGTTATCTGTGCCGCGTAGGAGAATGTGCCCCTTCGCACCAAGTTGAAGCCCTATTGCAAGCTGGACGTCGCGACGGAGTGGCTGTTTTTGATCAAAAAGGAGTTTGCCCCGGCGTCCGCGCCACAGTACTATAAACTCGACCCGACGATGCCGCTCGGTGACAGCTTGAAGCACCTGGCGATCGTCGAATTCCCGACTGTCCTTGTCACGCTTGCGTCCCGCCGACATGAATATACGTTTGCCCATCGAGCCATCGAAGTCGTGGACGCCGTGGCTGCTTCCACCGCTTGCGACACAACGGCGCCACCCCTCGTCACCGAGGTCTCTTCCACCCAAGCGCAAGAAGATGTAAATTAAGTTAACACGTCGAATCTCTGTCAGCAAGGGATTTGCTTGGACCACTTCTGCCCGACGTACAAAACCAAACGGATTCCTCCAAGGCGACAGTGGGTGCCAGAGGAAACCAGGCAGTACCGAGTGACGCCGGAAGGTGGTGCACCGCCCAGCAATTTGCCGGCCACCCGAAGGCTACGTGCCTGAAACCAAACGACGAACAACCCTTGCTCAAGCATACGCATTCCACCCGTCCTACCATGCGTAGGCCGACCAATGCAGTAAACCTGGTCGTCCATCCCGATAACTCGAACCTCCAATAATACCCATCGACTGGAGCAAGCGAAGTTGCCAACACAAAGCCCATGCACGGGTTCTGGCGCCGACGGTAGTGTTTTTATAACATGGCGACTCGATCTATCAGCCTACCAGGAAATCGTCTTGGACGGGATGACTCCGGCCCCGCGTACGTGCAGGCCGTTTTCGTACACGTCGACAGTAGCGTACGCTCGGTTCTCGGCATCGTTGTCGGTGGGAGGGCATTCGAGGGCAGCATGGAATACCATGTAATGAATACCGTGGTCTTCAGCATATCCATTTCTGTGCGAATGGCCAGAAAAGACCGCGCGCACCGACGACGCGTGCCCGTCCAGCAGCGCTGTAACTTTGGCATAGTTCCAGAGCAAGACACCACCTGGGCGGCACGTGTCCGGGTGAATTGGGACATGGGTGAACAAGACCACGTTCTGCTTGTTTGCGACAGCGGTGGCCAGGACGTTCGCGAGCCATGCCAACTGGGTGTCGTCCACGGCGCCGTTGAACTCCGTGCAGCGCAGCGATTCGTCGCGAGGCATTCCAAGCGATGAGTTTTTGTTTTCGTTCGGATTGTTTCGGCTGAGGAACTAACACCGATGAGACTTGGGCAGAGTTCGTCCCGGCCACGACACACGACAATATACACATTCCTCACTGCCATGCCCCATGTAAAGCAATCAAAAGGGTAAAGTTGATGCAGACGAGGTCGTGCGCCAACCACACAGTTCTCGTTCAAGCGATGCATGCCAGCGACGTAGACGACAGGGAAGGAACCGCCTACCTCGACGGCGTTGGCGTATTCAGGCGAGTCCACGGGGCTTCCAATCGTCGACTGACCGTATGGATCGAGCACGACAAACAAATACGACGGCAGCGACGGCTCAGTGAAGGTGTAGTACGCGACGGCTGTGGCACGCGGTGGAATGCTTGCGTCGTCGGCGTGACGTGACTGCGTGTGGAGGGTTACCTCCTTGACGTAAGTGGCCTTGGAGAAATTGTACAGCTCGTGGTTGCCAACGCAGTGATGCACTGGGCCAACAGCATGTTGAAATTCGTCAAATATTGCGGTCGCTGCGCGCAACGCCGAGTACGATGCCCCAACCGGTTCGTTCTTGCCGTCGATGACGTCACCCAAGTCGACGGCAAAGCGCATGCAACGAGGTGTTATCGCGGCTTCATCGATCCAATCGGCAGTAGCCCATCGAAGCACTTGCAGCCCATGACGGTAGTATCGACGCGACGTCTTCCGGTAGTTCCACCCGTCGTCATCGTCTGCGTATTGCACGTCGGCGATCAATCTGCGTTGGACAAGGTGATTTCACCACACCAACACAACATCCCACGGCCAGTTGAGCACGTTAACCTACCCGAATGATCCCAGACGCTGGGAGATCGATCGAAGCGGCGTTGACGGGCCCTGCAATTGCCCGGCAACTGCATGCATCAAGCGTTGGCTTGGACGGGCTGGTGCCATCATTCAAAATGGATCAACGTGATTTTATCCAATCGTATGGCAACATTCGAATGGATTGCGTTTGATTGGTTCAAATATGTCGCCGGGTTGTGACGAATTCAGCTCAGTTCCAGCGTCAGACCACGCACGGCCCGACAGAGGAGCAGCAGAGGGTGAAATGAATCTGCTCGCACGCATAGATGCATCCGCATTCGTGCTGAAAGAGACGAAGCTGGATTGTGCGAAGGGACATGCTCGTCTTTCAGAGTCGTAGCGGGTACGTTTTCGCTCCAAGGAAATTGACTGCGAGCACCTCGTCGAGTAATACTTGCCAAGGTGGTCGTTTGCGGGACCATTGTCGCAAACATGGGCACGCGAAGCCGTATCAGTACAAGTCGCAACAGCAGCCACCCTGCGATTTGCCTCTGGGCGAAGTCTTTCAGCACAGGAATGACGCGCCGTTGTGTTCCGTCGGTGCACACGGACCCATAGTCTTGATGCTCAATGGTGACGTGTGTTCGTCCATAGTAGTTTGGTGTGCTCAAGTAGAGATAGTGGGAAAGTATCAACTGCATTGATTCACGGTCGAGCCAACACATGCATGATCCACTTGTTTTGTCTACCAGGTCAGAATGCGACTTGGCACTCTCCCAGCCCCTCGGATGTGCATCTTCGATTCAAACATGTCCACAGATGCATACGCTCGGTCCGTTCTTGCTTCAGTGGAGGGTACGTCGCCATCGATTGCTTTGGCGAGTGGTTGGCATTCCAGTGCCGCATGCAGCCCAACGTAATGGATGCCCTTGTCGCAAACGAAGTGGCCATTGTCATGGGTGTGCCCTGAAAACACAACACGAACGCAATGCGCGTAGCGCCCCAACAGCGCCACGATCTCGTCGCAATTCCACAAAACTGCCGCAGGGTGGTTGCCGGAGGCTGCTTCGTGCACAGGGACATGGGCGAACACAACCACCTGACGCCTCTCCGCCGACGCGGCATCTAGGATCCCCTTCAGCCACGTCATCTGCACGTCGTCGATCGCGCCGTTGTACTGGACGAACCGCTGGTCCGCACCCTCCAGCTGGAACGACGAGTTCTTGTCTTCATTTGGGTTGTGTTGCGCAAGGAGCTAACAAAGTACCATCCGAATTACACATTTCGCGTCCAATGTAAGCTTGTGGTGGGTCACCGACCTGAATGGATGAGATGTGATCGCTAGACCCGGCGGGACTCCCGAGCACGCTGCGACCATACGAATCCAGCACGATAAACTCTATCGAGGGTGCTGCAGAGTCGATGAAGGAGTAGTACGCAACGTCCGTGGTCGGGGGTGGAAGGCTGTGTGGACTTTGCGTGTGAGGAGATTTGGTGTGATGCAGAAGCTTGTGGATGTACTGTTCCCGCGTGAAATTGTACATTTCGTGGTTTCCAACGCAGTGGTGAACTGGGCCGATAGCATCCTGGAACGCTTCAATCGGTGCGAGGACTCGCTCGAGAGCAACGTCGGTCTGCCCCAACGCAACGTTCTTCCCATCGATCAAGTCACCTAGATTCACCGCAAATCGCATTCTGTCTGTCGACGTCGACTCAGTTGTCCATGACTGAACTGCCATCTTCAACACGTCCAGCGAAGACCGGTAGTACCGCATCGATGTTCCTGTGTAGTTCCATGCGTCATCGACATCGGCGTATTGGACGTCAGCAATGAGTCTACGCACACGACGTTTAGCGGCGCACGCACGTGCGAGCTTGAAGAAAGATAAGTTGGACATCATGGGCTGCGAAATACCCGAACGTCACGAGCGGCGCTGTGGCCATTGGGCTCGACATCCACGTGGATGTAGATGTGGTCACAGGTTGCAATGGATGTGAGGACGAGTGACATAGGTATGTACGAAAAATGAAACAGTTTTTGCAAAATTCATTCAACTTTTGATGGTTTTCTCAAAAACTCTACAATCCCACGGCATATCGCACATCGACAGAACCCAAACAAGTGCGCCAAAAGTCGACAACTTTTTCGATAAACATGCCCCTTGGGTGGATTTGACAAAAAATTCCTTGAAAAAGTGTGGAATTTTGGCATGATGGCACCAATCGTTTGCACCTCCGATGAAATTGCTGCACATTGTGGAATATCCGGAAAACATTTTCCTTGAAGAAAAAGACTTGAGTTATTTCGACGGACTATTGTGTCGATTATTTCTCGAACAGGAGTGTGCGAGTTTGAACTGGTGGCAATCGGCAAGTCCACCAAGAAGAGCATGAGCGAGGTGGAGCTGGAGTTTGATGAGTCCAAGGTGTGGTCGAACGAAGAGCGCCAGGCGTACTTGGACAAGATCCCGGAGATGTCTCTCTTTGACGACCACATTCTCGAAGACGACGTGATGGTTGATGCAATGATGGCACTAGTGAACGAAGGAGAGACGCCAGAGACGCTGGCGCTCGCGTGCAAGAACAAAGGCAACCAACACTACGGCGATGCGCGCAAGTTCAACAAAAACTACTACACGTACGCAATTGACGAGTATTCGCGCGGCGTGACGTACGCTTTGAAGGCGGTGGCGGAACCCACCGACCCCGAGGTGCTTAAAGAGTGCAACCACGACGAGCCGATTGAGCTCACCAAGTTGCTGACGGCCATCTACAACAACCGGGCGGCATGCCACTTGGCGATCAAGAACTACGGCAGCTGTCGATCGGACGCGGCGCGGGCACTCAAGTACGACCCAACCAACCTCAAGGCACTCTTTCGCGGCGCCAAAGCGTCCAGCATGTTGAAGAAACCCGAAGACACGTTACGGTACTGCAAAGTCGGGTTGGCCGTCGACCCTTCGCACAAAGATTTGATCGCGCTTCAAGCGAGCGGCCTGGTCCAGCTCGAGGAGCAGCGCGTAGAACGGGAGGTCGAGGCGTTCAAGCGCCAGAAGCGACGAGCGATGACCAACAAGTACAAGCAACTGTGCACGTTGCGCAAGGTTCGCGTGGGCCCAGCAATAATTTCCGACCGCCGGGTCGCCGACTTTCAGGGGAAGGCGGACCTGAATCCCGACTCGGGCAACATGGCGTGGCCGGTGCTATTCTTGTACGATGAGTACGGTCAGTCCGACTTTATCCAAGCGTTTGACGAGCACGACATGGTGGTCGAGCACTTAGCCAACATGTTCCCGGAGGACGGACCGTTCTGCATGTGGGACACCCGATGCGACTACAAGGCGTCGCAGCTCGTGCTGTATGTTGTCGCCGACGCAGTCTTGCCCTTTGCCACGGACGACGCGTGGCATGTCGCGCTGAGTGGGGACGTCGAGTCGGACGTGGCCGAGTCTACGCGGCTACGAGAAGAAGAGAAACACTCGTACAAGCACACGTGGTGGCTAGAAGTGTCACCATTCTGCTCACTCGCGATGGTGTTGCAGCACCACCAATACGTCGTTCCGGGGATCCCTGTTTTCAACGTGATGGTGCGAGGAACCAAGCATCACACGACTTTCCTCGCGTCAATTGAGCACCGCGTCGTGCAAGTCAAAGCGCCTGGGTTCCCCTAACACTGACCTTCTTTACAACAGCTAGCTCAGTCTTTCGTATGCAATAGAGTTCAGCTGCGGGGCTTGCGTTGTGTCTGTGGGTGGTACTCGCGATTGGCGTGCTGGCTTGGTTCAGCCTACTGCTCGTGGCGGTAGAAGTGCGCTGTGCTTCTATACACAGAGTTGTTTTCAACGGTTTTCAAAGGACGTCCGACTCGCACGCAGAATGTGCGAACGTGGCTTCCAGCCCCACAACGCTACTCAGTTGAGGTAGTACCTCTTGCTTCATCGGCAAGGGTTGCCAGTCGGAGAAGCGCACAGCATCCATCGCCCCCGTCGATCGGGACCGAACTCTCCACCACCTTTGACCAATGGCGTCGCGGCGCGAAATTATCCGGATCCGGACACCGCAATTCAGAAACCGTCTTGGGCTGTGGCTTGCCTTCTCATTTCGGAATTTGCAGTGCAGTGCGCACGTCGTCCTCCGTTGGCCGACACGACCGCGTACTGCCTTCTTGCCGCGCGATTCACAGGGCACCCTCCAATTGGTCCTTGTGTTCGTGTCTGTGCTAGCTTAGCTGCCGTCGTTGTTGTAATCGATTCACTCGTGTGTGTGTGTGTCTTTTCGCCTCCACGCACCAGTGACCCCATGAGCTTGGTCGATCATTTCAAGAAGAAAAAGGTCAAGCGAAGCCGCGGCAGCATGATGCGGTCGACAGCACTGGATGTTGCTGACGTGTCGGCGTTGGCGGCATTTGACCTGTGCTTGTCGTCGCTGCAAGTCGCAGCGGAGAAACGCGATGCCAAGTTTATGATCCCGCCCACTCCCCTTGGTTCTCCCATCCACACCACGCGCATTGCCAAGCGCGCACGATTTCCATCCACGGACGAAGAGGCGGCGGACGGAGTCGCTGATGGCGACGCAGCGAGCACTGCGCTGGTCATTCTCAGCAGCCGTCTTGAAGGCGAGCTCGACCGCCTGCAAAACCGGGAGTGGAAACGGACCAAGAATTCCCATCAACACCTTGGGTTTTATGCCATCACGTCGGCCTTCCACCGCGCCTTAGCCGAGCGGAATGCTGCCGCCCAGGCTTGTTCTACTGCTGAATGAACGCCAGATCAACCTAGTCTAGCTGTATTTAAAAAAGTGTCAGATATCCTGCAATCGGAGACTTTCCTGCGCCATGATCGCTGCGGCATATCCAATTACGACTGCCGACAAGAGATAAAACAGACTTGAGCTTTGCTCGATGGCTGCTTTCGATATGATTTCTCTTCATGGCACGAACGAGCAGCAGTCACCACGTCCCATTGCACGTTCTCCTCGCAGTATATCGCAATCATCGCGGGGTTTCCACCTAACACCATTCATCCTAACATATCCTAGACGAGATGAACCATCGTCTCTGCTAGCTCGCACGCTCTAAAGACCAACCATTCCATCCCCCCATCGACCTGCTATGATTCGCACCCGACCACATTCCGCCGCTTCTGCACGCCATGCGCTATTTCGTATTCCAATGATTCGATTGGCCAGGTAGAACTGGATGAGCGGTGGTCTTGTCGAAATTCTCGAAATCGATTGGCTTAAATTTGGGTCCATATCTTCCAAACGCACTTTGATTGGACGAAATCCACACGCGAGCCATTTTAAACGGTGGCGTTTCACACTGCACTAGCCATCTCTTGAGTGGCCCTTGAGTGGACGGCCGCCACATCATGCGCCTGCTCTGTCTCCATGGGATGTTTCAGAACAGCGCGGTGTTCCGGAGCAAAACGGAGCACCTGCTTCAGTACTTGCCCCGTGGCGTCGAGCTCGTCTACCTCGATGGACCTATCAACCTCGTTCCGAAGGCAGTGACCAAACCCATTGACACTAGTGACTTCAGGGCGTGGTGGAATCCTCAGGATGGAATGAGCGTCCAGACGCAGCGACAAGTTATCAACTATGTTGCCAACGCTGTGAGCAAGGGTGGTCCGATCGATGGTCTAGTGGGATTTTCACAAGGAGCCTCCTTGGCGTCGTGGTTGTGCTCGGAGGTTGCTCAAGAGGACCTGGACTGGTCTCCGTCTGTCGCAATCTTTCTCGGTGGCTACGTCAACCCCAAGGACGGAATTTTTGCTCGCGGTCTTGTGCCGGACGTTCGGTCGTTTCACGTGAGTGGCATGAGCGACCGAGTGGTGCCAGCCTCCAAGTCGGAGGAGTTGGCTGCTCTCTTTGAGCAAGGCACCCATCCCCATCTCGTTTCCCGCCACTCCCATGCGCAAGGCCACATTGTTCCCAAATGTGATGGATCGATGCTCGCACTGCAGAGCTTCCTCCAAACGCCGGCAGTCGCGGCAACCGAGATGCCCGACCTGATCGACGTGGAGTACCGAATGCGCATGTCCCTTGGTTAGTTTATGTGGCGAACGGGGCGCTGTGTCCATGCCTCTCCGAGTAATCTTTCGTGTTCATTCCCTCGGGGCAGGGGCTGTGCATCCCCAGCGCCCCTCTGTGACCCTCTATGCCGCGTTCTCCATCAGACTATAGTTCCGTGACTGCATTCGATTCTCTGCGCACATCGTGCGCAGAGAATCAAGACATGCTGGAACCCCATGTTTCCAGACGAAGCCGAGAGGTCGACACCACATTGTGGGGACGGTGTGCACGCATGTAGTGCGGTGGCGTCACCCTCGTGCGGACCCTCCCAACGATGTCCTCATGCTTGGCATTGTTCAGACAGCTCTCAAGGCAATGTGCTACCCAACACACTCAAGTGGCATGGTACTCTGCATTTCGTGTTAAATATTCTTCGGTTGTACGAACCCATGCTGTTGGCATATGACGTGGAGGAGCTTGTACTGGGCAAGGAGGTCGGGTACGTCGGTTAGCCGTAGGTCGTTTGGCGTTGCAGTCATGAACGAGTCGGTGGTTGTGGTCGGGACGTCCACGGAGGGCCAGCGAAATGTGAAGAGCGGGGAGGTGTGGGTCGCAATGGCCTTTCGTCGGCGATTCCACACGTCGAGGACAGAGAGCGGGGCGGTGTCAAGGGAGCAGTCGTTCGGACAGCTATCCGTGTCCTGCGCTGCGCTGTCGTTGGCTTCCATGCGTCCCGTGGATGGCATAGCCGCGTGCAAATCCCTCGTGGACGCTTTGAGCCCGTCGTGAAACTCTTCCGCCGAAATCGACAAGCCCGAGTCGTCCAAGTGGTCCAAAAAGCTCAAGGACGACACGAGATGAGTGAAGAAGTACCCCGGCTCCGAGAGGAGTTTGGACGGGTGGCGATACGTTTGAATGTACTCGACCGTGCTGTGCAAATGCGGTGGATTCGCTTTCAGGATCGTGTAGATGAGCGCGGGCAAGAACTCGTCCGCGCCGGGGTATTTACCGCCCAAGTGGTCCTTCAACAGGTGCGTGAGATCGTGGCACACTTGGAGAATGCATGCCATTTGCCGTCGGGGACTCAAGTATCGCGGCAATTCCATCAGCCGCGCTTGAATGAGGGTCCATCGCGCCAAGTCCGAAGTCGCGGTGATGTCCAAATGCTGGAACGAGAGAAACCCGAGCGAAGCGATGCGGGCGGACAGGTTCGCGTCCTCCTGGGGCCGTGCGCCAAACACTGCGCCATGCAGCTTCTCCATGAGGAAAGCCTCGAGAGTCTCACGGCGCATGCCTTGATCCCGGAGGTCCGGCAGTGCTTCTTGTTGCTCCAGTTTCTTGATTAACGGCGACAACTGCATCAAATGGAGAAAATGCGCGATGAAATTGTGGACCTTCTCGCCGCCGTTCGAGGGATTAGATGACTTGCGGGACGATGCCTCGTGCATAGACTTGACAAAGCCTTGGATCGAGTGCACCAGATCAGCGGCGTCGGGGTGTCTGAGAACATCGAGCAGCTGGTTGTAGGCTCGCTGGAACGTTGGGTCCAATCGTAGTGGCGGCAGGTCCGTACAACCTACAGCGTCTTTGGGAGGAACCTCGCTCTGCGCGACAATTTCTTGCAGAATAGAGATTGTCGACGCATTCGATGATGCACTTGCCGCGTCCCGCGCCACTGGAGGGTGGGTGGCGACAACATCGAAGGTGTCCATGAAATGCACCACGTCATCAGCACACTTCATCAACTCAATCACATGGCTGGGAACGTTGCTCGTCTTGAACGAATCCGAGCCTCGTCGACGCCGTCCCGTTCCGGTTCCTTCGACCCATGCTATCCGTTTGGCGCGGGCGAGTTGGAGCAACTCGTCGCGACGCTCTGTGGACAACAATGGTCTCTCAGCACTCTCGCGGAACTCAGACAAGAGCGTGGATGACGACGACGACGATGTTGGCGACCTCTCCTCCTTCGTGGTTGCCGCGGTGCGCAATCGATTCCACGGCAACGACAGCATGCCGTTCGCCACACCCAACGAGGCTCGGATTCTGAGCTCAACGTGTACAATTGTAGAGATGGGTCCACTAGTAATCCTAGACTCCATGGACGATCGATAAGACCAAGTAAGTTGACATTGATTCGTGGTGCACTGACACAGTGTCAAAGCGCCATTTCGACACCTTCCTACTCAAACGAACGTACCATGATATGCAGAAACTTGCGCGCGCTGCTGGATGTCCTCGCCCTCGCCATATCGCTCGCCCGGATTTCGAGCGACATCACATCTTGTTTCCGACATGCTTCATCCGGAGTTAGTAGGTACTAAATCCCAGGATTTGAAAGCATTTGATTGGTGCGAAATTTTACTTCCGTTCTGCACATTTTTGCCAATAGGTTGTCTCACGGAATCGTTACAAAAAGGTGCCCATGGCAGCAATGGGGTTGCGATGCCGTCGCCGTGCGTTGTCGACACCGGCGGCAGTGCCCGTGATAAAGAAATCGAGACGAGCTCCTCTACGTACTGTTCACGTGCATGCGTTTCGATCAGTTGTCCTTGCTGCAGATCTCATGGCGGTCGTTGCGTCGTATCAACACGGGTTGTTTTGGGACCTCGTCCCGTACTACCTGGAATGGCGGGACATGGCACGCAGGCGTCGTGGCACTGCGCCTTTGATCCTCCCTGAGCGCTTTTACAAAGCTTACGGGAAGAAAGCCATGGACCTGGCGTTTCTCTGCTTGGACGAATCCATCCAAAGTTGCTTGCCC